TTAATTAATTTAATTTTATACTTATTTAGTTATTTTAAGTCATTTAAAAGACTTAAGTAAAAATTTAAGACAATATCTAACATTTAAATTATGCTATATCTTCGTAATAAAATTTATATTCAATTTTTTTTAAAAGAAATATCAAGAAATCCTTGTGCGCATTTTATTTGAATAAATTTTTGTTTGTGACAAGAATAATGTTTAATTAATTGATTGGCATTATAAAATGTATTTCACAGATATCACAATATTCAATTTTGAAATATACTTGTAAGAAAATCATTAGAAATAATATGCATAAGCTTGTCTGACTCTTGGATTATGTGTAAACATGTCCTTTTATCCTGAACCTTTTGTCCATAATTGCAGTTTTCTGTTTGTTGTGTTAACACAAAATTACCTTTAATGGTCATTTTATGTACTTTTTATATACTGTAGATAGATATTTTTAGAAGAAAAATTAGTTGTACTTTCAGAACTTCTTAAATATATAAACGAACAGATAACAAAAATATTCACATTAACTCGTATTTACTGATAGTTTGGTTTATAACTTTAGAAATACCATTTAATCATTTATTTCCTTTTTAAATTTTAAATAAAAAATTAATATTGATTTTAGCAATTATATTATAGTTTTATGTTTTATAACATAATTCGTAAAAATTTTTTTTTATTCTTTAGTAAAAAAAACTCTTTTTCAAAATCTCAATATACTTTTATTCTATACTTTTTGTTTAATTGAGTATTATTATTTTATGATATCTTACACCATATTTACATTATTCCAATCAACTTGACAAATATATAGCAATAAATATATATCATAAACAAAGATGTGCTAATAAAATACATTATGTATTTGTAGACAAGCTAGTTTTTGGGTAGTCTTATCAGAGTCTTATTGCAGCTTAAGAATTTGTATACCAGGAGCTTTTAAGAACATCTGTAAGTTAAAAACTTCAAATCAACTGTAGTTTTTCTAATAATTAGTAGTTAGAAATAGTTTTTTAAATAAATAATTATCGACTCCTTTTTTTTCAACTTCAATAGAACTGTTTTCAAAAATAAAATTTAAAAAAAATTTTGTTGAGGTCAATATTTTTGTTTGGGTTTTTAAAAATTCAGTTCTTAAATCAAATGAACTTCAAATAAAATTTAAAAATAATTATAATTAATTAATTCAATTATTCTACAGCTGGTCCATGAATTTGTTCTAATATAACATAGCAAGTACATTTGTTAATGAACTTTCACAACAAATTAACAAAACTCCAGAAAAATGTGCGAACATAAAAGTCAAGTACAGCTTAGTGTCAGTTGGTTAAGGAGCGCTGACTCTGAGCTTCAAAATTGGCAGGATGCCAGTTCAACCCTTGCTACTTACAATCCCAAACAATTATTTACGAACAATTAAATATAAGAAATAAAGTCAAGACCACCGATAATGGGTATTTGGCAGTACGCGAAACAAAAATTTTTGTTGTTGTAATTCACTACTGTTCGATAAAAACGTGTCTATTGAAAGGCATAGTTTATTTAAAAAAAATATTTTATTAATTAGCAATAATATTGTTAGTTAACTTAGCTTTATACACATTTATAAACCAATAAATCACTGAACTGTGGTATTTGATTTCCAACTTTTATAATTGCAGGACATCCAGTCCTTACATATACAAGGTATTTTCCGAATAAAAATGGGAAAATAAATAAGTTGCATAAATCTTGAAAAGCACATAAATCTTTAATGTTGCGGGTGCTGTGGTGTTGGTTTTCGATTTGCGATTTGCGTGGAGAAAGGACGAACTTACCAAAGGCGTTTTTGCTGAAAAGCTAACAACAGCAAACCACTAGGAAAACAAAAATGTCGTGATATTGCTGGCGGTACTTGGTACAACTCCGTTTCGTCCTTTTGTATTTTTTTTCTAATTTATTTATTTTTTTTTATTTTTTTCGTGTTGATTTTAAGTGGCTTATTTTGTAGTTCGTATATTGAGTTTGTTATTATTTGTGTTATTTTTTAGCATGGCAAACATGCAATTGCGATAGTAAAAACTACAAAGCAAAAGTACTTTTATGATTAACGGCATACTTCGACTTCGACTTCGACTTCGACTTCGCCTTCGAGTCTCTCGGTATAGCACATATTTAACGACAGAACAAAAACGAGCAGTGAGAAAGCAAGGAATTCCTGGCATGTTTTTTCTTGCTTGTCACTTTCTAATACATAGTAAACAATAAATGCAAAGGTCCTTCTAAGTGCAAATTGCTCGAAAGTGTTTTCTTTATGTAAACAATGTTAAAAAAACTTTGAAGAGTTGGAAAATAGTTTAAAATAACTAAATAAGAAGCACATAAGAATGAAACTTTTCTAAGTGCCCAAATGGTTAAAGTTGTTACAAAAATGTTACTGTTACCGTTTTTTGCTCTTAAATAAATTCAAAAAACATTCAGTTACTAACAAAGTGTTACTAACAAAGCTATTGTAAAAATTTGCAATTTCTTTGGCACTTAAAGTCCATAATTTCTTTTACTAACCTGCTTTCAACTTTGCAGTGAGCAATATTTACTTAGCACTTATTTGCACTTTTATTCATATTTCATTCTGTTGAATTCGTAAGCAGATTGTCAATATTTTAGTCTGCTTCCATATTCCATATTGCATTTGTAGCCAACTTAGACGCTTCATGTTTATTTATAATTTTTATTTCTCATTCTGAAGTCCTGTTGCAGTTGCTTACATATTTGCCTGCACTTATCTTTATTAGAACAGCTTGCCACTGTACTGGCAACATTTGAATCCTAGACTTTGTGCAAGTAGTGGTGCATAGTAGTAGTGCGCACACCAAATGCCATCAAAGATTGATATGTTGATGAATTATTATTATGCACAGTTTGTACGAATGATTGCTCTTCAGTGCACAATTGATGGATTATTTTTTATAATTTTTTTGTTGGAAAATATTTACATCCTCCAAGCAAAAAACATAAAATCTAGTTAGCAGCTAACATGGCTGCTAACTAATTCCCTCTAGATTTATTTTATTTTCTTTTTGACTGACGTTGGACCGTGTAGCTCTTTATTTAATATTACTTAAATAACAATCACTTACAATGTAATGTGTAAAATATTATCAAAATACTGTATTTGCGATACAGTGATGAATCCATCAAATACGCCATTAGATGAAAGCACTCTCGAATAGTTTGTTACAACAAATTAATTTAGGCATGTTCATACATAGGTATACATCCATACAAGTAAAACTCTCAATTTCTGAAATAGTTGGAAAAATTTTTACATCAAATTTTCTTATACCAATGTTAATATACCAATGTATGAGAATATGTTAATGAATATCTTAAAATTCTATATTTATACCTATTTATTATTATTATTATTATTGCTAGGGGATGTTAGAGAATTCTGGGTTTAGAGTAGGTCTCTAAGTCCTGTTGCGTCAATAAAAAGTAATATAGAACATACTTTATATAGTTTTATTGCCTCTTCCCGTAAGAATATACATTTTCAGGAGTCAATCCGTGTATACAAAAGTCCGCGCGTACTCTTTAAAGAAATGCATTATATCTGTTTATAAATTTTTTCTAAATTTAACATTGCTCTGTATGATTCAATGATGACTGAATAATACAGATAGACTGAAGTTATCGGTTTTCATTAAGGAGCTTTCTTTCTCATATGTGAATTGAAACCTTAGGTGAGTATAAGATTATCCATATTTTTTTTTGTTTTTTTTTTTTTAATTTTATTGACTGAAACAAATTCCTCTTTAGCTTTAACGAAACATTCAGTATTGTTACAATTTTAATATTTTCCATTCGTAGGAGTCAAGCTTGATAACTGTAAAAACATGTTTTTAATATTATTATAATTCTCTTTTTTAGTCTTTAAAATTTGAAAACTTAAGTGTAAATTTCTTTTTCGATAAAGGAGATTGTTTTGTTTAAATAGCAAAAATTTTGATGAATCTGAAAAATCGAGAGGAGATTTCTCGAAATCTTTATAATTTGGATTAGGCAACTCTCTCGATGAAGAAAAAGATTCGTCGAGAATAAGAAAAGAGAAAGGATGAGAGAATAGGTGGGATGCCGTACAAGAAAAAGGCAGATGTAAAGGGAGTGGTAAAGGGAGAGAGAGGAAGAGAGATGGATAAATATAGAGAGTGAGAGAGCGACATAAGCAGAAAGGGAGACACAAAAATAGAGAAAGAGATAGACGGGAAGCGAGATAGGGGAGAAAAAGACAGCGATTTTTTAAGCAATAGGCATAAAAAAAGAATATGAAAGAAAAATTAGTAAAGCAGCTCATTACAAAATGATTAATTTTTAAACTTCTAATTCAGAATAGGTTTTCCTTAATTAATTTAAAAGACAAGCAGAAATACTTATTTACTTGCATAAAGGACCAAAACAACACGTTACCGGGTTTTGACCTGAAGTAGCACGTGCTCTCCAGGTGATTCTGCAGCTTGTACACCCTATCCAGTCATGGTCACTTCACCGGAGGCACGACCTGCGTTTACGTATTCCTCCTACAACCACCCCTTCAAATACCTTCTGCACTTGAGCATCAGAAATGCACGTATCACAGAAAGCATTTCAAAACTAAGGATGTACCCTAGGATGTTTCCTTTCAAAAACATCTTAAAATAAGAGCACTAGCTCTTGCGTATCGAACTCATAATTTGTGAATATGGAGTCTGTCGCAGGCTCATCCTCAACTGTGATTAATAGCACGCAATATATCAAACTGGAAATCCATTGTAGTAACCTTAAGGTACTAAAAAGGAGTATAGAAAAAGGAGTATAATACCCTTAAGGTACTTCAAAGGAGTATAGAAATTAATATTTCATAAAAAATTCTGTTTTTACATGAAAATTTATATGTTTTACAACTTACTTATATATTTCTTGGAATTTATTTGACTATACTAATATATAAAGTGCCCTCGGCATACTTTAGACTCCATTTCAATCTAATCCTTAACTTCAACATTTACAACTAGAACTAGATTTTTTTCCACATTGACACGATATTTCGCAATAAAGTTTGTCGCCATGCAGTCATCTAAAATGAAAATCGCAAAACATATTTTCCGCTATTTTACTTCAGAGCTTAAAACAAAAACCAAAAAAAAAAGAGAAAAAAACATAAAAACTGAAAAAAACAAGAAAACAACAGGAAACAACTCTAAAAAAATCAAGAAACAAAGTCGAAAATAGCGTAGGACAATCACAGAGAATTTAAAACTATCGTGCGGGCGCTGAGCTATTACAACAATGTAAACACAGCACACATATGAACACACACACACACACACAAACAACAAATATTGGCAAATAAAAGTAAGCAGTAATTTTCTGCTTTGACAAAACACTGATTGCAATACCCAAAAAAAAATAAATAGTAATAACAAATAGCGACAATCCAAAAGCAAAAGCAAAAACAAAATCAAAAACAACATTAACATCAGCTACATTTTGTTGTTGTTGCTATTGTTGGCGTTGGCGTTGGCGTTGTGTGTTTCTGTGTGTTGTTTGCTGAATTCATTGTTGTTCGATGTTATGTGGCGGGCGTCAAAGGGAAGTCTGTGCATTATGCATGTGAATGCGGAAGAAAGTAATAATAAACTTAAATATAATAAAAATAAACTTTTCACATATCTGCAACAAATTGTTGTTGTTCGCCGGAAATGCATGCAATTGTGCATCGATAGAGCATTTACAATATTGACACACATCCAGACACGCACACATACATACATTTTCGCATTGATTACAAGTTTTTGTTAAAGTTGTTGTTGAGTAATAAAAAAATAAAAAAAAGTTTGTGAAAAACTTTCGCAATTTAAATTTTATTAATTTATTATTTTATATTTTTTTTTATTTTGTTAATTTTCTTTGAATAAAAATTAAACATTTTTATAAAACAGACTTGACTTCTTTTTTTCTCTTTCGCTCTTTCACTCACACTCTCTCTCCCATTTTCTTCCCACTCTCCCTTTCTCTCTCTCTTACTGACCAACTCTCTGTCTCTTTTTCCCAGTCTCCCCTCTCTCTCTCTGTCTCTTTCTCTTTCTCTCTCTCTATATCTATATCTATATCTATATCTATATCTATATCTATATCTATATCTATATCTATATCTATATCTATATCTATATCTATATCTATATCTATATCTATATCTATATCTGTATGTCTGCAAAATACAACTTATTAACTTATTATTATATATATTGAATTTTTATCTCTCGTTCACGTAAAGATTTTATAAGGATGAAGCTAATGTTAAACTATACCCATTAACAAAAAATTCATACTCTTCAAGTATTCCATAGATGAAATTTATAAACATAACATCGTTCTTCTCATCGAAGATATATAAATCCTATAAATGCGCTTAAAGGTAATTATTAATTTATTTTATTAAACAATAAATTTTTCTATATATAAAGTACTTATTACTTAACATTTGAACAAATTGTTAATTGTGATTACATGGAGTTGGTAACAACCAGCACCTTTACTGGACCTCTACACTAGCTAGACTTTATCTATATTTATTTGTTACGTGTTATTTTTGAATTTTTTCTACAAATAAAAATTTACATATGTAGTGAATTAGTTAAAGTGTGTGCGAAGATCTTGCCAAAATCTAGTCAGTGCAGACACAGTATTTTTTTTGTTTTTATTAAAAGTTTTAAGTTCTTTGATATGTATATGTGTACATATATATAACATATTAAGAATATACTTATTTAAATTCCAATGAAATGTCATTATTATTTCTAAGGTAATAATTAATTTAAAAAAATTAAAATTTTTTTTTTTATTTTTTTTTATTAATAAAAAAAAAATTTTAAATTAATCTCAATTAATTTTATTATTGGTATTATTGGTTATTATTAGTTAATTATTAATTAATTAATATTGGTATTTTGCTTGTTTTTTTTTTCTTTTGAGTTTCCTTTGTTTGCAAAAACATATCTTCAATAAAACCTGGGATAATTTGCTTATTATCTGTAAGATATTTGTGTAAGCCTTGGATAATAAATTTATCGGAAGGTGAAATAAATGTTATGAAAATGAAATCCTGTCGTTTTCTCATTGCACGATTTACACGTTCCTTATATATTGAAATATCAGTTGGTAGATCGAAATGAAACATAAACCTAGAACGAAAAACTATAGTTACTTTTCATGCACAAATTTACAAATAAACTTACTTAAACGGGGAAAAAGGGAAATTTTTTCCTGAATATTCATAGTCGGTTATAATTTGGAGAGCATCATCTTGAATGTACTTCTCCGTACTAGACCAATCATTCTGTACAAGCAATCAGTTGAAATGAAAGATACTTTTATCAATACGGGAATTCATATTATGTATTGGCTGTAAATATTTTACCTCAGTGATCAATGACTCTACACATTGGGTTGTTAAATTTTTAGTTGCCAAGGTACTTGCTACATCAATAGCCCTTGCCTTATTCAAACAATACACCAGAACTGCTTCACGTGGCTTCAATCCCTTAGCGAAATTGAGCAACTAAAAGAAATTTATTTTCACTTGTGATCAAATATAACAATTCAACAAAATTACCATTTGATACTTATCCTTGTCCGTTCTGGCATATTTGAAATGTTGTTTAATTGATGGACTCAATGCTGGGTCAATAACTGGTGGTGCATTTTCTACGATAATTGGTTCACACATATGCTGCTCAGCAAATGTTTGTAGATATGATGGAAAAGTCACACTCATCATAACAATCTGGCGTACCGGTGGCAACTGGTTTAAAATAAATAAAATGTATTTCTCAAAACCAGCGCACCACATGTCATCTGCACTGTCCAATATGATGTAGCTGAAGAAAGAGATGTCAATTCTCTTGTCTACAATAACATCATAAAAATGGGGTGGTGTGGAAATAATACAGTCGGGATGAGTCCTGTGGAAGGTGCTACATATTTCATAATCACCGAGTATGCTTGAGCTAAAAAGGTTTTTCCAAATGTCAGAAATTTCGGAAACTTTGGTTTTTATGTAACTTACTTATTGCACGAATTAAATTTCTTATACACTTCGGTGATTTTCAAAACACGCTTTTCTTTGGAAGATAGTACTAATAATCGCGGACCCGCGCGATTCCAAGTTCGTGTTTTTTGCGACTGAAAATGTAAAATACTTCCAATAACGTAGCATAAAGTCTTGCCTGAGCGTGTTGGAGATATTCCAATCACGTTCTCTCCACTTAACATAATGGGCAATGCTTGTTTCTGTATGGCAGTTGGATCATTATAACCCAGTTTAAACAATTTTTGTAACATATGTTCGTTATAGATGTGTACGAAGCGTTGAATGGGTTTTGGTATTTTATACAGATGCTCAATATTTGACTTGGATAACCGCGATGCGGTGATGTTATTAACCGTCAAATATTTTTCTACTAGAGTTGGTAGCCAATCTTCAATTTCATCACATTCAATATAAATATTCTTTTTGACATGTGGATGACCTACGCAACTTGGCTAAAATATAGATATTTGCAGCTGTTAAAGTATCACAAAAACTTTTAATTGTCAAATAAATTTGTACTTACGCTTTCGCAATTTTTAATGTTACATAAAGCGCTCTCTTCACTCATTTTGCGATATCTCCAGCTAGTGAAATATAGGAATACTTGAAAATTCTCTAGTACGTCAATAAAAATAGTTGAATTTTTAATTAATTTCTGCGATGAGCAGAAATATTACGGTCATTCAATCTTCGTATTTAGCGTGAGTTTAAAATCCGATGTATGATCGTTGAATGTGAAAATTATTAAATGTTGTGCAAATGTATGGGAAGACTTAAGTAAATGAGAATTATAACCAAACTGTTTGCTGCAGCATAAAAATATTTATAATAGTATGTTATATTCAAATTAGAATGATTAGTATTTAACAGAAAAGTGAAATATAATACAAATATAAGTGTAGTAAAAAGAAATCCATTATTTTCACAACATACATATGATCGCTAGACGACGTTGGAAAGATGAGATTTCGTTCTAAAAAAATCTTTTGATAGTCTGTTAATTGGTTAACTCAGTTTTGTTTCAGCACGCGTCAAAATTAGACACTTGCAAAGAGAAAATACGTCATATTTTACAGTTTTTCTTTTATAAAGGAGAAAACGAAAGTTAGGTGGCTGAAAATTTGTATAGTGTTTATGGTCCTGTAACAGATGTTATAGCAGCTAATCAATCGCAATTTTGAGTTCGTCCATTCCACTTCGGTAAATTCGATGTCAAAGATACGCTACACACTGTAAGGTTAATTTTCGAAAATATTGATGAAATCATGGAAATTTTTGAGTTCGACCGTCCGTAAGCAATGTAAGCACTGTTTCGATTGCCCAAGAACTGAAGATTGCACAAAAAAACCATTTGTGACCATTTCAATAAGACTAAATACAAAAAGAAGCTCGATGTATGGGTGCCACAACAGCTAACGCAAAAAATCCGCATAGACCAACATCTGCAAATCGCTGCAAAATTGTAACAAAATTGACCCATTTTTAAAACGGTTGGTTACTGCTGATAAAAAATGGATCATTTACGACAACGCCAAGCGAAAACTGTAGTGGCCAAGCAAGGATTGACAGCCAGGAAGATTTGCTGTGTGTTTGGTAGGATTGGCAGAGAATCAACTACTATGAACTGCTTCCCTATGGCAAAACTCTTTATTTGTAGCTTTACTGTTAACAATTGGATCATCTGGAGGAAGCAATCGCATAGAAACGGCCAGCTGTGGGCAATAGGTGAGGAATTGTGTTCCATCAGGACAATGCCAGGTCACACATAGATAATGACTCGCTCAAAGCTCCGGTAGCTTGGTTGGAAAGTTCTGATACATCTATTTTATACTCCAAACCTGGTACCAAGTAATTACAATATGTTTCTATCAATGTCTGTCGATTTTATTGCTGAAAAACTCGCTCAATAGAGGCTTGTGAAAATCGACTGTCTCAGTTTTTTGCTAATTGGGACGAAGATTTCTATGAGAGAGACATAATACAATTATCTTCAAAATGGCCACAAATTAACGAACAGAGCAACGCATATTTAACATAAATCGGATTACTCCACCTATGGTAAATGCAAAAAAAAATGGATTTCATTTTACTACACACCTATTATAAATTTAAATATAAATATAAATATATATGTAAGTATAAATATAAATAGATGTGCTTCTTCCATCGGTTTCCAGTTATGGGAAAATTTTTATCTTAAAAGAAAATAGTTCTGCAACAAAATGACAAAAAGTTCTCACTATGTGGGTTCTCCCACCCTTAATAGGGCGAAAGCAATAAGAACACCACATTAAAAATTATATTGACAGCCTTTTCAATAGACAATTCAACTATTTTCTTACTAGACAGTTCGGTAGGCTGTTTTATCTAATATTCAATATATGAAACACTTTTGTAAAAGCTGACAAATGCTTAGCTACATACTAACTCATTATTGCATTACTTAATTAAGAACAAAAATTAATAATAATTAAAACAAATTAATAATTGAAATTAATTAATAACAAAGATTAACAATAATTAAAAGTAATAATAATTATAAGTAATAATAATAAAAGTAATAATAATAAGAATTTATTGATTATTACAATGACAAGAATTAACTATTAAAATTATTAAAAATTAAAACTAATTTATAAATAATAGTATTAATTACTAAAATTAATTAATAATTAAAAGATTAATAATTAAAATGTATTAATAATTACAAGAACTGAATAATAAAAATTTCCTGTTAAAATAATTAATAATTAACACTTATTTATAATTCATAATTTATCTATAATTTATAATATATATATAGTTATAATTTATAATTAATTAATAATTAAAACTACTTATAATTAAAATATATTAATATTTATAATAAGTTAATAATAGAAATTTCCCTTTAAAATAATTAATATTTAACACTAATCTATAATTAAAAGTAGTAATAATTAAAATCAATTAATTATCAAAACAATTATTAATTAAAATTAATTAACAATAACAACAAGTTAACAGTAAAAATTAAGAATTAGAATGAGTAATAATTAATTAAAAGTATTAATAATTACAATTAATTAACAATTAAAGGAATTAATGACTAATAATAATTAATAATACAAATTAACAATTAATAAAATTTTATAGCTTTATTAAATCTTTTGTTTCTCTGAAGATGACTATCGAAGATAGTTGAAATATTAGATAAATATATATTATATTTTATATTTTATAAAACGTTTTTAAATATAAATAATAAATTTTATATATAATAAAAATTGCTTTAGATCCTGTTGATATATTGGTATATTACAAAATAAAAACCTACAAACGAAATATGCTCCAAATGATATAGACCAGTAAGAAAAGGTGATGCGTCTTTATGATGAAAACAAACTACGTAAAAGTTAGACGGATTCGAAAAGCAAAGAAAAGACAATAACAAACATTTTACTTAATTTATTGAAATTTGGCTGATCACAGAACGCCGTTTCGAGTATTGCCAAGTACTTATCGTCAGTGGTCTTAGGAAATAATCGAAGTATTTAATTAGTGTAGAGTCCGTATATAATTTAATTTTATTTATAATTATTTTATTATGTTATTTAATTTGTAATTATTTACATTTCCAAAATAAATTTATCATGAGTTTATTTATTTTTAATTAAATTCATTTTATATCTTAATAGTGTCTTAATTCACATAAAATTAATTAATTTTAAAATGAAATGTAAGCAAATTACTTTATTCTCAAATTAACATGTGTAACGCATAATAGTTGAATATCTTAAGGACACGTGTGACTTGCAATTCACATAAAGATGAATCCGTACAAATTTTCATATATCAAAATACATAAAAGCCTAAAATAACCTTTAGTATTATTTGGGCAAGCATTAGTAGACATCAATTCCATTCAAATTCGCTTTCAGGATCAAAATACTAAATTGTAATTCATACCATAATACATCCATTTGTGTATGTGAAGGCACCATTAAATTATGTGAGAGCCATTAAAAGGTTTTAATAAACCAATTTTGCTAACCTAAATTACGGACAATGATATCATTTCATTAAAGCTACAAATACTACAAATACAATGTAAGCAGCGCGAAAAGCATATTTAATTCACTCGACCAACATAATTCACATACACGCATTAATGCATTCAAGGACCAAGCGTGTCCTGCAACTTCGTGCGTATTTGTGCATTTGTGTATTTGTGTGTGTGGATTGTGTATGTTCACTTGCGTGTGTTTACGTGTGAAAAATGGCGTACAACATCATGGAGTGCATTGAAACGTGTTTAAATTGAATTTCCGCTTCGCCATAAATTAATACACGCCGCAACCAATGCTACATATGCATTGCACTTGGACCCAACCCGACTCTATATCTTTAATTTGGAACACTTTTTTCGTTTTTCGTTTTTCGTTTTTTGTTCTCAATTTAAAACTACAAGTTTTTGACAGAAGAACAATAACCGACGAACCTGAGCCCTTAGCCGGACTTTGTATGTCATGTCATCGAAATGGCATATTCTGTGAACTTCATTATGCACTTAATGCAGCACCAATCCAATAAATAGAAAACTTATGAAATAAGTGCATACGGAAACGGATAGCAGATCCGGAAACGGATATGGACGTGAAATTTGTGACAATAATTGAAACTGCAAATACGCTTTACTAGCGTGTAATACGGCAAAAAAAATTTATTTATATTCGTTACATTCAATAAATATTACAACGTATAATAAGAACTTGATGAACCCAACAATGTATCAGAAGCTTCGGAGTGCCATTTTTAAGGCAACAGTATTCAAAACCGAATAACAGAAAGAAATGGTGGAAATAATTCATAACAATAACTATGTTCTTTTACTGCACATCAAAGGTTTATATAGTGCTGTATTACATCACGTTTAATAGTCAACGAATTAAATTGCATTATGGAACAAAATACACTAGTATCTCAACGAAAAGATTTGGAAATATATGTTATGAAGAATTGTTCCCAAAAACATTAGTAAAAAGTAGATGTATTATTTATTTATAATCATAAAAGTAAAAAAAATATAAAGATGTTTAAATAATTTCAAACAAAGTTAAAAAAATTTAAAAACAATTTCACATAATAAAAGGGTTCGAAGAGTAATGAAGAAAACAACAACAAAAATTTTATGATTACTTTTAATACAGTCATCTGTTATGCATATTTTCACTTACTATATGTAAAGCACCTTTCTTGGGTGCAATTTTACAAAGAATTCACAACTTTACAATGTTGATCTTCACGTAACATTTCATAATTATTGATAAAACTTGAATCTCTCAATAAAAATCAGAATAAATTAATTAATATAATAATTAAATTATGTGAATGTTACAAAGCTTACTGCAGTTCTTTCTGTTCATTGAGTTATAGTAACCTACGCAGAGAATCTGTACATTCCTCAAAATCCTTACTTCAGATTCCTTACCTACGGGAAAAAGAAACCATTAAACAATTTCTCTGTGAACGCCTGCCTTTGACTTCCAGAAGAATTAGGTTTTTAGGAAAGTATTTCTTTGACAGCTT